ACATATTATTGAGATTTTAATCGGTTTAGTTTTATTTATTGGGTGATTGGAGGTTTTAAAATAATTATTGCAGTTAAAAAGTTTATTATTTATGGAAATATATATATGGTAGTTGTACCGTTAAAGTTTTGATTAGATTATTTATTTATAAATATTTGAAGTATTATTGAATTTTTGATAGTTTGATTTTGAGGTTTAAACTTAAAATGAGATTTTTAGAATTTAGAACATAATAATTTTATATTTGGAAATTGTGGAAAATTCTTTTTATTAAGGTAAATAATTTGGAGGGGGTAAATAAATAACTTGGCTAGTTAGAAATTTTAAGTTATTCCTAAAATACTTAATAATTTTTGGGTTATGAGAGTTGCGGGAATTTAGAATAAAGATTAAATTAAATTAGAAATTTAACTAATATAGAGAAGTTTAATTAATTAATTAATTAATTAATATTAATGTGTGGTTACATTAATTGTGTAGATTAATTATTAGTTGAGCAAAGAATTAACCTTGTAATAATCCTTAGTATTGCTTTGGCGAGAGGTAATCACTTTTCACTTGTTATATGTGCTAATATGTTGTTTGTGAGTATTTTATTATTCTAGAATAATGATGTGTTATTTGAAATTCGAGTAGATATATTATACTTTTTGAATTATGAAAAATTGTCTTGTGGAAGTTTTGGAATTGTGATTGAGAAGTTTGGAAGAGATATATGATTTATATCTTATAGATTATAATGGGAAAAGATTGTGAATTGTTGGTTGTTGTTTGGATTTTGGATTGAGCTTTATCCTACCACGTGGTAAGGCCGCCATTGGTACACATTGATGGGCTTCTTATTTGTCCATAGAATAAGGGATAGACCTTTGTGGCTTTTTATTCATCCCCTATCGTGTGGGATAGGCCTATAATAAAGGATGGACCTTTGTGACTACTTATTCGTCCCCAAAGTGTGAGATAAGCCTGTAGGTCGGTTTGATCCTCCATAGTGAGGGCTAGACTTATGTGGCTTGTGTGTTAGCTCCCGTAATGAGAATTTGGATGATTGAGATTATTTGAATATGTATATTTGTATTTTCATTGATATATAGATATTGAGATTTAATAATTATCCCACTTAACACCTCACGAGCACATGTTAGTATGTATGATGAATTGAAAAGTTGGTTACTGAGGCGTTTGTCTCACCCTGTGGTTTTTACTATTTTCAGGTGATAGTTCAGGTAGTAGCCCATCAGGGAAGGCTCCGGAGGCATAGTGTGGTGTTATAGCTTTTATAGCCTCCCTGCTTTTGTTTTATGTGTTGACTTGTTACATATTACCGCATAGGGCCCATATACTCTAATGTTGTAAATTAATACTTTTAATTACTACTATCTGGTATGATCGGGCTACTAGAAAGCTAGAGACACCTCGGACTCTGCATGTGACACTCTTTTGAAAGTGTTGACTTTTAACTAAGGGACCCCATAGCTTATATTAAAAAAAATTTATCAGTTCGTATGTTGGAAAATATAAGTTTGGGTTGAGCTAATAGTTGAATGATATTTCTGGACTTTAGAAGTCCAAGGCCCAAGTTAACGATTGATGTTGCTCGTAATATAAGTTTATTTCTTTTAACTATAATAGCGATTTTAAGATTTTAAGGTTTCTTCTTTTTTATCATGGTTAATTATTCAAGTAAATTGTCAGATTTAATTTAAAATGGAGAGAACGGTCGTCACAGAATCAGGACCATCTAAAATCAATATGTGTGATTCAAATTATGATGAGCACTCTATGCTCATCTTTTTTTATTAGTATAAAATATGCTCCCAAATTTATAAAAAGCAATATTCTAAATTTATAGCAACTGACATTGTATTTTTGAGAAAAATTAATCTGTAGGTCCCTCTAATTATATCTAATTTTTAATTAGGTTCTTTTAGCTAGTATTTTTTTTTATCATGTCTTTATTGTTTCATTAAATTTTTCGTAAGATGTTTATAGGTTTTTTTTATCAAATACTTATAATTTGAAATGATTGTTAATTAGGGCCTTTTTTAATTTTTTTATTGAAATTAAATATTACTTGATTTTATTCAATTCAATATGAATTTGATTTATATAATTTAATTAATATTAATATTAATTTTTTATTTGTTATGAAAACTAGTATATCTATTAATCTATTAATATATAAAAATATAGTACAAAGCAGGAGTTGTTGACAGCACGACAAGTGGCATCACCTATGAGTAGATAAATGTTTTTCTTTTCTTTTAAAAAAAAAAGCCACATTTTTTACCCATGTTGCCAATAGCCCGATATATCCGCTTAAATTGGCGAAAAGCTGCCATATATATATTGGAACTTCAAGAAAGCACAACTTCATTACATGTGCGTTTCAGTCATTCAATCTTTTGCTTTTGTTCATTGCTCTTGTGCCTATTTTATTGTTTGTATTCTAAGATGTTGCCCACATAACTTTCATTGAAAGTGTATTGCAGCTTAAAATTTTCTAAAATTTCTCATCCACTAATTTGTGTTTCTCAATTTTTTGATGAACACACAAAACATGATTTACATGTAGGAAGATGACAAGGCTTTGCAACCTGCTTTTTAATTAAGAAAGGTGAGTCTTTTCTCTTTGAGTTGATTAACTAGATGCTTCTTCTTCTTTCTTTCTTTTCTTTTTCAGTACTGATGGGTTAAATTTGAAGGTCAGCTTCTTGATTACATAGACTTTTTATTGTTTATTGTATTGATATTTTCAAAATCCTCCTCAAATTATAAAATACTCTTCCAGGGCTATATATGACTGACGTAAAATAAAGAGTAAAATTTGACATATGAATGGTAAGATAGAGATGAAGGCAGCATTGTTGAAGAAGCGGTAAGGAGTTGAAATATAAAACATAAATATTTGTTGATGTATAGTATGCATCGATTTTAGGATGATTATATTCTTAAAAGAGGTCAAGTTGTTAAATACTGGGCTTTATTTAAATATGGGGGTATAATATTGAACAATATAATGTTGATAATGGATCTACATATTTTGCATGCCTTGAAAACTTATAGATACTTTACATGTTATACATATTAAGCTAAAATGATGACTTGAAGCAAAAATGTGATCTTCAACTAATTATTTTGTGATTATATGAAAGAACCTTAATTTATACCCGTGCATCGCTCAGGTACTGTACTAGTTTGTGTAATTTTAAAGAACGGATCTTCATGAATGCAAAAAATAATGCAAAAAATGTTGGCAAAAAATGTTGCATTAGTCACTTAAAATAACTATACTGATTTGGTACTCCAAAATAAATTAATAAAATTAATTATTATAACCCTAACGCATTGTTTGGTTGGAGGGTTTTTGAGGGAAGGGGAGGAGAGAGGAGGGGATCAGTGTGTTTGGTTGAAAAAAATGGAAGGGAGGGAAGGGAAGAAATTTGTCTTTTAGTGCTCCCCTCTCTTCTTTCTGCTCCCCTCCAAATTTGAGGTTTTTTGGAGGGGAGAGAAATATTATGTTTCGTATGAACAAAAATATCCATGTTAATTTTTTAATATTCCAAGTTTACCCCTCAAACACTTTCTCCTTTCTTTCACGCTGCGTCTTCTCCTTTCTTCGCAGGCGAAACCCTTTCTCCTTTCTTTCTCAGGCATCTTCGCAGGCAAAACCTTCCTTCGTCCATCTCTGCTTCCTCCAAAGATTCTATCCCTCATTTCTTCGCTCCTCGTCTCCACTTCAGGTACACCTTGGTCACTACTACCTACGGCGCACTTCACTTTTGCCCTATAAGATAGCTATGGGTGGTTAAATTATATTTGTGTATTTTTATAGCATTGTATTTTATGATGATTTTTCTTTTATGTCATATACCAATATCCCTCCAACTATGATGATTTTATTTTTTTTAATGTTAAATAATATTATAGTATTGATCGATTGTGTTGGAGGCATTTGGATCTTGTTATTGAATCAATGTCATATTATATAAATTTGTTACGCCGATCAAGTGTGTTCTTATCCCATAATTACAAAGTATGGATCAGATTTGCTTCCTAATGTAAAAGAATATGTATCTTAATTTAAAATGCTCTTGATACGCCGTGTTTGGGTGGACACATGGATCAATTATTTGAATTCCTTTTGATGTCTATGCTTCTTTAAAGGGAGACTTGATGCAGGAAGGAAAAAGTAGTGTGCATCTTTGCTTCAATGCAAATCTGAATTCAATCTGTTTCTTGAGTTTTTTCTGTCGTGTTGTAAGAAATGCATTTTTCTTAGACCAATTGTTGTGTCCATGATTGATGATGCTTCTCTTTTTCTAAAGATGCTTCTCGAGCAGTGGAAGCCAGTGCTGATTAAAATATAGTTTCTGCTTTGTTTGAGTTGAGCTATTACCTAGATATAGTTTCTGCTTCTCGAATAGTGCTGATTAAAATATGCTTCTCCCGCATTTGCCTTTTGGTTTTTGATTTATAGATATAATTTAAACAAATTTTTATTGCAAGGTTAAGAAGATAGAAGCTAGAAAGGCGAGGGTTTAGTTTTGCATTGCAGAATCAAGAAGATAAAAGCTTCAAAGGTGCAGTAAATGTCTTTATGTGCAATTTGACGTCATTCCATTTTAGTTGTAGTGTTACTAGCGTATGAGGCCTTTGATAGACATTTCTTTTAATCTATTAATATTTATAATCTATTTGTCATGTCTCAAGTGATCTAGTATTAATTGGATACATGTTGATATGGTTTATTAGATGGAATGGAGATCTCAAAACAATTTAGCCTTGCGTCGATGGTTGGATTTGCATTAAAAAGCTATAGCACTACTCACATGTGTTTTTGTCTATCTTGTTATTCGGAGGAGGTGCTGTAAGAGAAAAATAAGTTATAGCATGAGTTCAGAAAGGGAAAGGGTGCGTGAAGAAATAATGAGCCAATTAAGCACCAATGAAAAGAGTCGCAATATCATTCGCATGACTCCTAATGCTTTCCTAACATTATGTGTCTTGCTAGAAAGAGAGGGGGGTTAAAGCCCACAAGATGGGCTACTGTGGAAGAACAAGTGGCAAAAACTCTTTACATATTAGGCCATAGAGCAAAAAATCGAGTTGTAAATTTTTTCTTTCGAAGATCTGGTGAGATAATTAGTCGCCATCTCCATAATGTGTTAGGAGCTATTGTTGAAATAGGCGATAAATTTATTGTGCAACCTAATGGAGCAATAGTCCCTCCTGAAATCCATGCAAATGAGAGGTTTTATCGTTTTTTTAAGGATTGTATTGGCGCCATAGATCGAACACACATACGTGTGAAGGTATCTGTTAAAGATGCTCCTCGATATCGTGGTAGGAAAGAATTCCCAACACAGAATGTGTTAGCAGCTTGCTCATTTGATTTAAAATCCACCTATGTGCTCACTGGATGGGAAGACACAACATCTAACTCTAGAATTATGAAAAATGCATTAACACGAGAGGATAAGCTAAAAATTCCTGAAGGTAAATACTCCCTTGTGGATGCTGGTTTCATGCTAACTAGTGGACTCATTACACCCTACAGAGGAGTCCGTTATCATTTGAAAGAGTTTTTAGAAAGAAATCCACCCCAAAATTATAAAGAATTGTTCAATTTGCGACATTCATCATTACGCAATGCAATTGAAAGGGCTTTTGGTGTTTTTAAAAAAAGATTTGACATTTTAGCCAATTCAGCTGAGCCTACTTATGGAGTGAAAGCTCAAACTCTTATTATTGGAGCATGTTGCATTCTTCATAACTATTTAATGAGTATAGATCCTAATGAGGATCTCATAGAAGAAGTAGATCGTGAACTTGCAACTCAATCTAAGTCTAATGATAATAATCGTGATCGACATGGTGACAATGAGGAGGCTGCTCGAGGACAGTTGATTAGAGATACTATATCAAATGAGATGTGGATAGATTATCAAAATAGGCTAATGAGACGTGGTGGCAATGTACCCTAATCAGTTTAAAGCTTGTGCTTTGATGTACTTGTTGTTTCATGTCTATTTGGTTGTATTGTATTTGATATTTGAGACTTGTTGTTTTTAAATTTGATTGTATTGTAATAATTTTGAAGTTAAACTTTTATGTATTATGTATTGTATTTGAAGTTTGAGACTTGTTACTTTTAAATTTGGTTGTATTGTAATAATTTTGTAGTTAGACTTTTATGGATTGTATTTGAAGTTTGAGAATTATTGCTTTTAAATTTTTATGTAATGTAATAACTTTTGTTTGTCGTATTTTTTTTATTATTTTGATAATAGAATGCCGCCCAAACCGAACAACAATAAGCAATGTTTGAATTGGACAAGAGCGATGGATGATTATCTTGTTGACGTGTTCATGGAACAATATAACTATGGCAATAAAGTAAATGGCACGTTCACAACCACTACGTATGAGAACATTGTGAAAGAGATGAGTGCTTTACTTGATATTGAAATGGACAAGGAGAAGATTAAGAACAGGTGGAAAACTTAAAAAAAAAAACTTCTCTGAAATTTATGATATTTTTAAAAATGGTTTAAGTGGGTTTGCTTGGAACCCATCAACCCAATTATGGGAGGCAGAAGATGAAGTGTGGAATCAACTTATTAAGGTCAGTTTATGTTATTTATTGTGGAGAATTTTTAACATCTAAACCCTCTATTTATTCATTAATATTGACTATTATTTGAATTTTTTCTTTTGTAGTCAAAGCCTAAAGCTGCAAATTGGAGAGATATTCCCTTTCCCAACTATAACAAGATGATCATCTTGTATGGAAATAATAGAGCATCAGGGGAGGGAACTCATACTATAGGTGAGATGCGAAAGAGATGTCATTCAATTAATGAAGAGGACTTTCTTGATACAGGCAACAACACTGAAGATGTTGCTTCCTAACATAATATTAATATGGAGCATTTTGAAATACTTGATAATAGTGTCAATCAAGATAACTCACTTGGAGTTGCAAGTGCTTCATCTAAAAAGAAGCAAAAGGTGAATTCAAATAAGGAAAAAGACTCCGAATTAAGTGAGATTAAGGATGTTATGTCTGAAATTGTACAAGCTATTAGAAAAAGTGCTAGAAAGATTCCACAAGTTTCGGGTGAAGAAGTATGGAATATGGTTAAAGATTGTGGCGTCTCAACAACCTATATTGCCAAGATCTATAAAGCTCTTATGGGTGTGATGATGGGCTACTAAGGACATTTGTTGAATGTCCCCTTGTTGGGCGTAAGGATTTGCTTATGGAAATTATGAATGATTTAGAAAATTAGTTTACTAATCATTTGGAGACTTTTGATGTTAAGTGATGTTGATGTTACCAATTATAAATGGCTTAGAAAATTTATAGTTTGCTGACTATTTGGTGACTTTTGATATTATGTGACCTTAATGTTGCCTATTATGAATCACTTAGGAAATATTTAGTTTACTAACCATTTGGTGATTTTTTATGTTAGGTGACATTAATGTTGCCAATTATGTAATGAACTAATGATATTCGATAATGATAATATAATATTTCTATCATGACAGCAATTTTTTTTATAATATGATATGACGAGTATATATTAATAGAGGGTGGTGTATTATAATTATATAATATATACATATTATAGCTTGTGTCTTTTATAATTATATAATATTTTCTAATTTTTTTAGTTTTATCATAATTTTTTATCACATATAAGTGAGGTAATTGGTTTTTTTGAAATTGATAAATTAGAAAATAATAATTTTGATATAAATATTGTAATAAAAAAATAAATCAATCTAAGTATAGAGATAAGGACATATTTGTCAATTTATAATCCCCTCCCCTCCCCTCTCTTTCTAAACCAAACAAGAAATCTCTCTTTCCTTCCCCTCTCCTCCAACCAAACAAAACCCATTACTTCCCTTCCCTCCCCACCCCTTCCTTTGATTAACCTCCCCACCCATCCCCTCCATTGAACCAAACAAAACCTAAGAAAACACCATCTCGTCGTCGGGTAGGAGTAGGAGGAGGAGATTCGTTTTTCTTCGTCGGAGCATCCCACACCTCGGCGACGTCGCCGTTGGACGCCGTCCACCGTTGTCAGCTCCTGCGTATTTTTTTGGGGCAAGTATTGAAGAAGGTATGAACGTAGGGCTTTGTCTTCTCCGGTGAGACTGATATGTTCAATCTGGCTTTGAGTCTAGATTTGAATTTGTTATATGCGTCATCTGTTCCCTGAGTGGCTGTCAACCCTGCGTCGGATGCCGTTGTGCTGTTTCTTGTTTTGTTTTATTTTTTCAATTTTAATTAATTTAAAGATCATAAATTCCTAGAGTGTAATCATTGCCATTCTTCGCCATTCGTCGGTGGCTTGGAGGATTTGCCTGAATCAATTGGCTTACTAACGCATCTTCGTTATAGTATCTGGAACAAAAATCAAGAGGGTCTGATATCAACCATGCTTATTTCGAAAATTTCAGTGGGGCAAGATTCCCCTACTGAGTGGAATATAGGCCTACCTATGGAAATTACAATAAAGGATGCAAAAATCTGGTTTAGGTTGTGACAAGAAAACCTTTATCTACCCGTCATATATGCTTAATCTAATTGGCATTATAAATGTGAAATTCCTTGGGCTTATACTGATGTGATACATTTCAAAACAGATATGGTGATCCCTCCTCCACCAAGGCCGCCAAGGATCATAGATTTTCTCAAACCTTATGTGCTGAAAATGCATTTTACAAATAAATTCGTGAGTGCCCAGGTGATCCACACACCAACTGCTACTGTAGCATGTTCTGCAAGCTCTCAGGAGAAAGCGTTAAGGTCAAGCTTGGAAACAACCCGAGATGTGGCTGCGGCTGCAAAGATTGGGAAGATACTTGGGGAACGCCTTTTGCTTAAGAATATACCTGCTATTACTGTTCACTTGAAGAGAGAACAGAAGTATCATGGTAAGGTTCGGGCTGTTGTTGATTCTGTCAGGGATGCTGGTGTTAAGTTGCTCTGATTATTCTCATATATATAGCTGAAGCTTAGGGAAGGTCTCCTTCTGGACCTTGTCTTCCTTGTCTTGTAATGGTGGAAAGTTTCTGTATTACTTTAGTATAAATTCAGAACAGTAATTAAGCCAAGATGCTGAGTTTTGTTCCCTTGAGTCTTTTACCCTTATTATAACCAGTAAGTTGAAAATGCTAAATTCATCTTCTATGATAATATTGTTAAGTAATGGTAACTATAAGTTATAACACTTGATGGTTGCATGTTCCACTATATTTGATTAAGAAATCCTAAGCTAACTTGTTTCAAGGCATAAATATTTATATTACTTTAGATGTATATATTGCAACCATAGTTTGTGTGAAAATGATATTCATTGTGCATCGCATAAGCTTTTTTGGTCTATTCATCCTCTCAGTTTCTTCTGAAATTGATAGTGTTCATATAAGACAAAGGTAGACACAGTGTACATGCGTCGAAAACTCAAGTAAGCGATGGGAACAATATGCATGGGCCGTGGGGTCTTATTCATACTCTGCATTTCCTTTGTTGAAATTAACGCTGTCCATGAAAATTAGGACAATCGAAATCGAATCGTCTGATTTTTCTAGGTAATGTGTCTGTCTACAATAGGCAGATCTCTTCCTTATTTGTCAGCACGATTCCTTTACCAGCCTTGGTTTGCACTCACGTGATCGCTCTTCTTTCCTTTCCTCTAACTCTGTGGCACATGTGAGTCTATGTAAGAGATTGGATGGCCTTCTTCTTCCTGCTCTTTTCTGAGCATGAGTTGCTTGTGATCTGTCTGATCTTCCTGGTCGCACCTGGCTTTTGTTGATAAAATTTTATGCACCTGATTTCTCCCAAGTCCACTGGCAATTATCGGAGAAACTCATCCTTGGAGGGTGATGTTATTAACTGGGGTGTCCACCAAATGGACCAGATTTAACGTTGCAGCCTGGGTAGGTAAAATGCAAACAAACTGTGAAAAGTATTTCATTGTGTAATTTGTGAACTCTGATTGAATTGAATGGTAGAAATCCTTGATGCCCAGGGAACATTTCAATTCTTCTAATGACAATCGATGACTGGACCTCTAGAATGTACTTCATGACTCCCCTCATATTTTGTTGTTTCTCGGAAAATGGGAATGGAAATGTGGGCCCTTATATTTTGAATGAGGGACTTTTCTCGAAAAATTTGTTCTGCTGGTGGTGAAGTTTCTGATCTGGATTCTTGAGATCATGCCACGCCAAGGCCCCATTTTCCGGGTTAAGGGTTATTCCAAAAACTTTCCTTGTCTTCTCGATCCAGATGAGGTCCTAGATTTTCAAGATGAAATGAAAGGCATATCTATCATTTTTCTTTTTAGGAACTAAAACTGTGTGAAGTATCATTCCCTAAGGAAGAAAACAAACGGTACAATGATTAAGAGAAATTTGCTAAGGTGGAGAACAATCAAGGATATAGATATCTTTTGATTGGAAGCATTTATATTCAAGACAATTTTTGTTATAAGAAGTGGCAACATTTAGGGGTCAACAACATTCATTGGAAAAAAAAATTATTTTAGTATAATTTGATTGATATCAACAATTATTATGTTTAACTAATGGATTTCTAGTTTAGTGACATGAGCTTTCTTATAAATAATAAGCATTTGATTCTTTCTCACTTTAACCTCATATCATCTCCCAGTGTTTCCCCTTATCATATTCATTTAGTATTTGTTGAAAATTATATACTTAAATTTATATATAATATAAATATTGATGGATAACGCACATGCCGCTTACTCACCCACAACCCATTTAATAAAAAAAAGTAACCGCTTATAAAAAAGTTACATGCGTTTTTTTTTTCCAATTTTAAGCTGTTAAATTCTTCTTCTTTTTTTGGGGAGATGAACCAATAACTGGATAATACTCAATTTTTAAAGACACTCTTCATGTCTTCAAATTTCAATATACACTATCGAAAAATTAGTGAAAAATTAGATAATGTAGAGAACAAATCATATATTTTAATTCTTAAAAATAAATAGGGAGAAATATTATAAGGTCCCAAAGAAAAAATGTACTTACTAAAATGTTTCATAGCAATTTAGTATCATTCAATCATTACTTAATTGTTATTAAAATTTTTTGGTAATTACATTTTCTTTCTCGGAATGTCATAATAATTCTCCCAAGTAAATAAGGGGGCATAATTTTAATAATTAACATGTATGTTTAATGAAAACTAGATTAGTGAATATGCATACTTTTGAAAAGCTAAAATTTTCAATCTTTTTTTTATTTAACTAGTAATGATTTTTTTGAACCAAACTAGTAATGAATTAAAAATAGGATAAGGCGCATTTTTACCCCGAAATTGTTCATGTAAGAGCTATGGGTGTTCGGAAGTTTTGTAGGTCTCAATGTCGCCCTGGAAGTGTAAATTTCGTAGCAATGTCACCCTGACCTAACTTTCAACTCGCGATCAACGTTAACATTACTTTTCTCTGAACTGTTTTTCTCGAATATATATTAGAGAACTGATCTTCTCTAATATATATTCGAGAACTGGTCTTCTCGAATACATATTCAAGAATTGGTCTTTGGTTTTCTCAAGTACATATTTAGACCACTCCTTATGTTTTGCTAAATTACCTTTCTTTGAATTGTTTTTCTCGAATATATATTCGAGAACTAACGGTGTTACAGACATGTCAATATCATTAACACCATTAACACAAGCACCAAGTCCTTTCTAAATTACCTTTTTAATATTTATCAATTAATTCTCTTACCTTATAGGTGTTCAATTAATTTTCTGAATCTAGATTTCTTTCCCATCACAATTATCTTAATCTAACTATCCCTATGTGTTGTAGATCTATTGAAATAGGCCAACAATAAATTAGTAGCTTTACTATATTGCATCGACAAAAATATCAACATGTCATTGTCATTACATTTAACTCTCACACCTTCTAATCAAACTAAATTCCATGCTCCAAAATAGTCGATCTTCCTAACATTCATATCCATTCCCCTGTCCCACATTATCCGCATTTTAAGTCAATGTAAAAGCAAACAAGAAGACCTAAGTCACAACCAGTGCACAAAATGCCATCTTCAATCTCCGTTCTGCGTTCTCCACTCTCTCAGTTATGCAACTCATCTCAATTTCAACATCAGGGCGACCTTCATCCCCATAAACCATTCTCTGCCTTCCATTTCTATCAAACATCCTATCCAAAATGTCTAAGCTACCAACTGGCTTATCACCACTGTCGCCCTCTCTCACATCTGTTTATCATGCTATTGGAAAAACCCACACCCACTTCCCTTTAAAAAAAAAATCAACATGACAACTTTACTTTAGAAAAAAAAATAAATCCAAAATAAGCCATTCACATCAGAGACTTTGCACAGCAGTTACATACCCTCGTCAGCCCATCTTACCTGTTCATATTTCCCACATCCAAAGAACTTCCTCCGTAGGTTTTGCATTGTCCAAGAAGTTTGCGGGGGCACTCCACACCGGGCCATCTTCATTTACCTCTACTTCACATCGTCTCACAAATCCGACACCCCTCCTCCTTCTTGTTGTCATTGTCGTTGAAAATGTTGTCGAATTCTCCATTGTCTCACTTCAATCCTTTGCCCGCCTTTCTTCCTCTTCTGACTCTTTCTTTAACTTCCTCTGGTCTAGGTTTGCTCCTTTTAACCTAGCATTTGTCATTAATGAAGGTTGACCTGTGTTCCATTTTTTGTCTACCATTTATTTTCAAAATCATACATGTTATCTTATGTGGACATATATCTTACATGGCAAATGTCTGTGAGTTGAAAGTTAGCTCAGGGCGACATTGCTATGAAATTTACACTTTCAAGACGACATTGAGACCCAAAAAACTTCTGGACACCCATAGCTCCTAAATGAACATTTTCAGGGTAAAAAGGCACCTTATCCCATTAAAAATATTTCAAATTTATTTTATTTTGTAGTAATGAATAGGGTGAAATGAAAATTGTCTTGGATTATAATATCCTAATATTTTATTAAAAACAATACAATTTCATCCTAAAAATTTATAAACTTGCTCTTCATAATAAACATATAAAATATTGATAAACAAGTGAATAATTGTAATATTATAATAAATAAATAATATATTGTATTTTTTAAAAAGAAAAATTTAGGATAAATTCCTCATTGATAAATTGATTGAGGCTAAGGACTGAGTTCCTTTAGGAGTAATAAATGAGCATATAAAACGACTAGTTTGCTCTCTAGAAGGTAATTGCATATTTGGTTCATATTACATATTTGGAAAGCCTAGTTGCATATTATATAGAAACTAATTGCATGTTAGGGAAGGCCACTTTCACATTATGATAATCAGTTGCATGTTATGCAATGCCACTTGCACTATAAGAAGACTAATTGTGTGTCCGTTCATATTGCATATTAGGAAAAACCACTTACGCATGATGGAAGGTAATTACATATTAGGGTAGGTAATTGCATATTCGAAAAGGCCACTTGCGCAGTAAAGAAACTAATTGCTTATTTGTAGGCCTTGTATGTAATTAGTTTACATTATGTGCAACCAGCATTTCCTATTATATAACATAAATCAATATGCAATTAGCTTTCTCACTTTGTAAAGTAGACTTCGCTAATACGCAATGGGAGAGGATTGTCTCCATTAGCTTCTCTCTCCACTTCCTCTCCACTTAATGTTTCCATCATTAGACCAAACTTTAATGACTAAGATTTATTTTATAAGAACATTATTGAAATATTAAATATTAAATAATAAAAAATATATAAATAAATTTATACTGTTAAGAGTTAAAATTTGATAGAAGTAACGGCGATGGCGAGTGGGGAGGTCGAAGCGAGTGACGGCGATGGTGGTGTTGGAACCATGGGAGATGGTGATCGGAGAGGGGGAAGAGAGCGGGACAAAGGGGTAGAGATTGGAGATACTCCTTTGAAGTTTGTTTTTGGTTCTGGGACTAGGTCAGGGAAAGAGACGGAAGGGTCGAAGGATAAAGCCTTTGCGAGTTTTGTTAGAAGAACGACGCCTTTGTCGTACAAAGAAAAGCTTCTATCTTTAGGGTGTGGTGGCTATCTAGTCTCGCATGAGGAGAATGAAGATATAGTCAATGGATGGAAATCGTTTTTCACCAAGCAAAATCAAAGTCCAGAGGCTA